TACGTTCAGGTTTTAAAAAGTAGGTTAAATTCAAGTTAAAAATATTATCAAAGTTACCTAAAAGTGGCCAGTCAAAAAAATAAAAATTGTAAATTTTACATCTTAAGCACATGTGAATTCTGTCAGAAAGTGCCAGGAAACTGAGAACCAGGAAACTGAGAATTTGGTCATTTTTCGTCTAAAAAATTGAAAAACAAGGCTTAATAACAAAATTCGGAATACTGGTCAACAGGGAATAAGGTTCTACGACACCTAGAACAACAAAAGTATAAAAACATAAAATATTTTTTTTTAAAATACGTGCCAGGAAACTGAGAATTTGTCTGACCAAATGGCCATTTCGGTCACAAAGTACACAATTTTAGTTAATTGAACTGCAAGTTAAGTAAAATGCAAGTGATATCATATTTAGTTAACCTTTACTAAGCACTGTGAAAAATATTGAATTAATCGGAATAAAAATTCTTAATATTTTTAACGTTTTTTATGATGCCAGGAAACTGAGAATTAATTCGATGGACATAATTCAAGATAATGTCTTTTAAATAAAATATCCAGTAATGTAACAATTATTTTAATCTTTGTAAAGTACAACTATTTGAAATTATTATCCAAGTGTAAATTTTCATTTAATCGCTTAAAAATAATATTTATATAATTTATTAACTTTCATTTTCACATTGGGACATGCCAGGAAACTGAGAATTTAGCACTTGAATGCTTATTTTTTGCAAAAAATATTTTTTGAAACCGGGTAACGTTTTGTGGCATAATAGTAATCATTAAGCACTACAGTTTCCATTGAAAATAATTTTATTTTTTTCAAAATTAATGTAAAAAATAACCTTGGACATAATGTATTCTCTCGTTTGTAGAACTACCCATATAGAAATGAATCAAAATAAATTTAATATTTAAAAATAGACCAAAATTGTTAAAATTAATGAAACTAATTTAATTATTTATTTATTTGAAGAAGTAATTCAAAAAAATATTAGATTCGTTTTTTTAAAAACACTTTTTACCCCTTCAATGTTGACGATAAATTTGGTAATTTTTTTTCAAATAAAAAACATTGTAAGAACATTGTTTCGTCAATTGACAAAAACATAAAAATTGTTTTAATCACAACAGACAGAATTTAATTGGAATTTGCAATCGATTTCTATCATTTAAAAAGCTTTTTTTAACAGAAATAAAATATTTTGCAATCAAAAGCACAAATAACAGAATTGCTGCCTCTGTCATTAAAAAAAATCTATTTCCAGTATTTTCAATTTACAGAAATTTTAATCCGTGCTTTAATTAATATTATTTCATCTCCATTTGAACTTAATTATTAGAAATTAGAACTATTGATTGAAATTTAGAAAAAAAAAATACATTTAATTGAAGATTCCGATCAAAGAACCGGTTATAGTTTTTTAAGCTAAATATAACGGTTCAATAAATCAATAGTTAACGAGTTTTAAACATCATTTTTTGAATGAACATTCTCGTAATCTTTATACAATTACGAAATAGTTGCACTAAGTTCTAAATATATATTAGAAAAAAAGTTAAAAATAGTGAGAAAAAATCTAATAATAATGTTTTTTCATTTTCACAATAAGTAATTATTTGTGTATACTCGTTTCATTTAATTTCAAAAAAAATTTGTTTTTTAAATAAATGAGAAATCATTATTTTTTTGTAGTTTATGGATAATTTCCCTAATAACACGAAATATTTATTCACATCCCAGGAATATTCCATCAACATTTTACAAATATTAAAATGTCCGACCTTTGGAATGTTCTTTTAGATTAACGTAGAACTATTTCATTGAAATATAATAGGAATATTTTATTGGAATATTAAAGGAATAATGTAGTAGGCATATTCCTTTAGAATATTCGTAATGATCCAAAGTAATATTTTAAGAATCTCATTCGGAATATTTCGTGCTATTGAGAAATAATTAGTTCGGTATTAATTAACTAACAATTTATTTTGAAATAAAAAAGTTATGAGGCTATGGGCCAGTTTCACCAATTCCGATTAAAAGTTAATCAATGATTAAATCCTTAACCGACCAATCATAGGCGGTTAAAATGACTTTAATCATTGATTAACTTTTTATCGGAGTTGGTGAAACTGGCCCTAAATGTAAAATTTTCAATATTAATTATTTGATAATATTCCATTCGAATTTTTCACAATATTCTTATAGAATAATTATATATTATTTAAAATAAGTATTCCTAATTTTAGACGTTTTGACACTTCAGAAATATGGATGAAAAATTTCTAAAAAATATTTCTAATCCTGTGTGGAAAAAGCCCCCATCAAGCCCACACGACGTGAGGGCCCCCGACGAGGGCTGATCCATGTGGGCAAATCCATGAGGGCCACACAGGGGGCCTGCATGGATTGCCCACATCATTGACTTGCAAAAATTTCTAAGTCCAAACTTCAAATAATTTTTTATTACTTTAAAATTAATGTTTATATTTTATAATGATTATAAACAATGAAAAACACATATTTAACATCAGATTATTTACATTTTTTCGAAAATATTGAACTCACATAGGGGCAAATCCTTGAGGGCCCTCGCGAGGGGCCCGCATGGATCGCCCACATCATTGACTTGCAAAAATTTCTAAGTCCAAACAAAAAATATTTTTTTACATAACAAAAATTAATGATAATAATTATTTTAAACAATTAAAAACACCTTTCTTGTTATGGTGTATTAGTGTCAACAATGTTTTATTGAATCATCAAAAGCAAGTCAGCTAGTCACCTACAATAAAGCAATAATTTTCAAGTAGGTCCCTTAGCACAGTGGTTAGAGCGTTTGTCTAGTAGTCCGTAGGTCGTAGGTTCTATTCCCGCGTGAGTCAAATTTTTTTTTTTTTTGGTCACGATTTAATTAAAAGAAGTAAAAATCGTTAAATAACATTGTTATTTATTAATAGTTAAACTTGTTTTTGATTAATAAACAATTAATTTATTAACTTAATTTTGAAAAATAAAGTCGAGGGTAAGTCGAGGGCAAAGATGAGGGCAAACGCGAGGGCCACGCAGGGGGCTTTTCCACACGGGATGTTAAAAAAATATATATTTTAAAAGTTCCAATGGAACATTCGCAAGGTTCCCGTGGAATATTATTTTAAATAAATATTACTTTTAGACGTTTTGATATTCCAGGAATATGAATAGAATACTAATAAGAAATGCTCTCAATAATGAAATGAAATATTTCCAAAATTTCAATGAACTATTTCTTAAGTTTCAATGAAATCTTTCCGTAGTTTCAATGAAATATTTCCAAAATTCCCATAGAATGTTCCTAGACTATTCTAAATAAATGTTCTAAATTTAAAAAAAAATTAATATTCAATGAAATATTGCAAAGAAACGTTCCTAACTGTTCAATGGAATATTTTCAAAGATTCATTGGAACATTCGTAAATTTTATGTATATTATTCTAAATAAACACTACAAATATTATATGAATTCACATTTAACGAATATTGATGGAATATTCCCATGAAATATTACCAATGGTCCAATGAAATACGCATATACTTTAAAAATTCCGAAGGTTTCCGTGAAATATTCTTACAATTTTCCAAATCATTGTTCGACATTTGGGATGTTTTGATATTTTAGGAATGTGGATGAAATATTCCTATGAAATATTCCCAGTGTTTTAATAAAACCTTTCCAAAAGTTTCAATGAAACATTGTAAAGGTTTCCATGGAATATTTTTACAATATTCCAAATAAATGTTCCAAATATAGGACAAATTAATATTTAAAGAAGACGGATGGAATGTTCCTGAGAATTGTTCTCATTATTCAAGTGGAATATTTCCAATTTTCTGAATATTTACAATTTTTCGAATATTCTTAATGTTCCATTAGAACTTTCCTAATATTCCAATGATCAGTTTTAGCAACGTTCTGGTGAAATATTTCCAATGTTCCAACAGAATAATCCAAAGGGAATATTTACATTGTACAACTGGCGTATTCGAGGAATGTGTATAGAATATTTCATGCAAAAAAAACTCTATATATAGAGTTCTTTATTGAGTTTGCTACTATTATCTATAAAGTTTGCTTAAGAAACAAAACCAACAGCACGAAATATTACATTCACATTCCTGGAATATTCCATTGAAAAATTTTGTGAATATTCCTACAGGATTTCTCTAAATTCTAAACTCTAAATTCCTCTAAAATACCTCTAAAATCCATATTTTAGAAATATTAAAATGTCCGACCTTTTAATATTTTTTTGGAATAATAAGGGAATGTACCATCAAAATATTGTCAGAATATTTCATTAAAGATTGGTAAAAATAAAGTTTTTTTATTAGCAGTATTGGTTAGAATATAAATAATTTTTGTGATATTGAAATAATTCATTGATTTTGAAATTGACATGATTTTATCAATTTTTTTTATTTTGAACTCAAAAAGTTATAAATTTAAAAAGTATTAATTAAAAGGAATATTCCTATAATATTCCAATGAAATATTTCTACTATATTTCAGTGGAATATTACTACATTTTTTCAAAAGAATATTCCAAAGCTCGGACATTTTAATATTACAAAAATGTGGATATAATAATCCCAATGTCCCAAGGGAATATTTCTCGAATGTGAATGAAATACTCCATGCTGTTGGTGCGTTCTTATTAAGATATAATTCTAAAGTTCAGAATTTTTAATATTCTTAAAATGTGTCTGGAATATAATTTTCAAAATTCCCAGATTTAGAATGGAAAGTTCCAGGAATTTTAATTAAATATTCCGACTGTTCCTGTGGAACATTCCAGGAATGTCAATGCAATAATGAATGTATACTTTAATATTTTATTTATAAAAATAAAAAATTATTAAAACTAATAAAAATATTTCCAACTTTGCAACTAAAATATTTTTGTTTCTCGAAATTTTAGTGATTTTTCATATAAAAATTCGGTAATGAAAATATTACCTTCTTGAACGCTACCGGCACGTCGCCGTCGACGATGTTGAATACGACCGTGTATAACGCGGCCGCCGGTGAATTTATTTGGATCGAGAATATTCTCTACTGAGAATGCAAGTCCTCGTTTATTTGATTGCACAGAACTAGAAGTTGTTGTTGTTGTGATAATATTACCACCACTAGGTCCATTTGTCTCCGTAACATTACTGGCACTACAAACAGTGACAAGTGTCGTCGAGACATTTGACGCGTGTCCAGATAGAAAAACCGAATGACCCCCCTGTCCACTCACACCAATTCCACTCGCACCATTTTGAAGACAATTAAACGAATGTAATCCACGAGTTGCAAATGGATGATGTAAAAATTGATCGGAACATCTTGAAGGTGCAGTCAAATCAACGGGACTACTTGGATTACTCTCGTCACCATCGCGACACACATCAACCTCCACATCCTCATCATCATCTTCATCATCATGAAATGATCCATTTCTTTTCTCCAATTCCTCATCATCATCATCCATATCCTCATCATCGTCCTCTTCACTTTTCGACGTGATTCGTTTAATTCTATTATTACTAATACAATGATTATCACTGATTCTTTCTGTTTGCCTATCACCACTGATAATACCATTTTCATTTTCGTCCTCGTTTTTTTCAATTTTTTGCTTTATCTTCGTCTCGCCATCATTATCGATAATGTCCTCGGCAAGATGGGGCGATGTTGTTTGCTCTGATCGTAAATGATCGTAGCGAAAGAATGGATCAGCTGTCCTGACTTGAAGTAACACGTGTCGTCTATCCTGAAGAGGAACTCCAACCTCCTCACCGAGAATCGGTCCGAGAGGTGACATTGTTCTACCCTCTTGCATCCTCCACATCCCCGGAGGTAGTGCTCTTTATCTGACCGCATGCCACATGATGATCAACTGTCACGTGATACTTCGAAACAACACATTCTGTCACTTTAATCATCTAAATACACGATTTCAAATACAAGACACTTAATCCAAGATTTCAATGATTATTCACAATCACCAGAAAAAAAATCACAAACACAAAAATTAAGTAAATTAGAGGGGGGTGGGGGTGTAGTTTTCGCGTTGATGATTTGGATTTTTGGCGTGCGAGTCTTGACTGTGACTAGTACGTAGGGTGTCTATAGTGGTTCTATAGAGTCATGGTGGCAGAATAGGTGGTATTATTAGAGTGAAGAGTAAAGCCAAAAAGGGGGTTGTTCCCTCTAGAGGCGTGGGCGTGGCGAAACTGATTCGAACGGTTACCAGAAAGCTCGACCGTCGGCCAATGGGAGTTAAGGCAAATGCGGAGGGTTGCATCGTACAAAAGCTGAGCTTGTATCAGTGGTGGGTTTTGATGGTTGTGCGTGATTACGTTGAACGCTTTTGCGTGTGCTCTCTCACTCTAAAGCACAACGACATTGGTTCATTCACGAATACCATCATGGTAAAATTGTGTCTATATATACAAAAACGATTGAAAGGAGAGAGGGGGGAGGGAGATTGTCCCCCACGCGCGCTTTCGCCAGATACTTGGGTATGTACACACAACTTCCCCGCTAGATCGGACTGGCTAAAGTGGTTTGTCTTTGATTTAGCCACCGCCGCTATACCACTGCGACGGAAGAGTGGGCGCTTCCTTCTCAATAGATGCTCCTTGGATGCTTTGATGGTGATGGTGTCTTGACATTGGTGGTGGAGAATATTCACTCGTGTGTGAGTGACGACGAGGCAGTGTTGCCAACCATTATATTGAGTTGGTATTGGTATTTAGTCACTTCTACATTGAAGCAGAAGGAGAGAGTGGGGTGGGGGGAGTATGAACTGCTGTTACTGCTGCCACAGCTACTGTGCTCTTAACTCCGCGCACAGATATTGTTTACCCGACCATTTAGGTAATTGCTGGCCTACCGCCCCGCCTGCCAATCGAACGTACGAGCGGATGAGCTCGCGACACCGATCCCCCTCGATCGTTGGCGAATTAGCTGCTGGTTCAATCGATCTCGGCTATTCTACTGTATAAACTTCACTTTTTTTATTTTTCACCCCCAATCAAGCGTCCACCCCCTCCCTGCTGTACACAGTTCTTGATGATCAAAATTGATCGACGATTAAGGGATCACGATGCTTGAATTATGGATATAGTCATTGATGATAAATATAGTGCTGTATTCTTTCCATGTGACGATTATTTGTTTGTAATCGAAGGGGAAGTGTGGAATTCTATTAAATTTCTCATCATCAGATTGATCAACGATTAAAGGATCAATGATGTAAAAATTCTGGACCAACGATTGTTGATGTAAAATTACTATGGATTATTATTCATCATTCTATACAATAATGATTAATAGGTTCACGATGTAAAAAATCTTGCTAATTATTTATAATAAACGCCTGTGTTGTACTTTTTTAATTATCATTTTGGAATTGAAGAGTAAGCATCAAATTCTAAATTTCTAAATCATTAAATTATCAATAATTAAAAGATTACATAATGTTAAAACACTAGATATTTATATACATAAAACACTTGGGTTCAATTTTGTAGTTTTACTTTCATTTTTGATTCAATTTTGACGTTGACATTCATTTTCACTGACGTTTACTTTGACTTTGATTTTGACTGCGATGGTCAAAGTGATAGTCAAAATAAAAATCAGTGAGAGAAGCAGGCGCAATGCGCCTATACATCTTTGGGATTCGTGGCCTAAAAGGATAAAAAGAATAAATAATAAAAACAATCTTAACCCCCACGGACATTATTAATTATTAATAAATAGAAAATTATCAAACAAATTAAGAACAAATTAAGTCAAAGTTAATCATTTAAATTCAAAAGGAAAGATTGAATTTCTCAGATTTTTTATCATCAAATTGATCAATATTTAAAGAATAACAATCTTGTAATTCTATATGCAATTTTTGTTTATAATAAACGCACCTGTGTATTTTTTGAAGATTATTTATCAAAAAAGAGGAAACATTCAATTTCCAATTTTTTGATAACAATATTCAAGTCAGACACTTGAAAATTTTGAGTGGTTATTGTTAAAATGTTTGGAAAAATGTAGATTTACTAGCTTATGATATCTTTAAATAAAATCTGCATTGTTTTCAAAAATTTTAGCAATAACATAACGACTCTAAATTTTTAAGTGGCAGACTACTTATGTGATTGATCATTGATCATTGTTCAATTTTGGAAGACGAGACAAAATAATTTGAAAACAATTTCCAAAACTATTAAATATTAAAAGGATAAAGTTCAATCAGATCTGAGATTGTTCATGATCATGATCATAAATACCTATACTTATATAAAGATAATGTTTTAATCAGCACAATAGTAAAAATTTTAAGTTTGATTAAAGACAACAAAAGCAATAATGATGATTCATTCTATAAAATCAATGTATATAAGTCTAAATTGCGTTTAATTTTCCATGATGATTTAGTATCTGTAAATAATTACCGGTAGCTTTAAAGCTAATGGTCGCCAAAAGCCATCAGCACGTCATTATGATTCAAAGGAAGCGGTAATTTCGTGCAAATTTTGGCAACCAGATCCAATTCGACTCTTTAACCATCATTAATTTTCACTCGCAATTTTCACAGCTTGAGTAATTTTCAGAGATATTTCGCTACTGTGCAGTTGAGTTAATATAAATTCATTTATCATTGTTATAATATAATAATCATGATATTATATTAGAATAATGTTTTGGAATTTCACTATTACAATATAGATAAAAATTATATTATAAACAACATTCGAATTCTTCTTAAATAGTTTATTTATAGATTGCTTTCTGTTACAAAATAAAAATCTAAATAATAGTTAAGTGAATTTTCCTAATAATTTCCTAATAATTCCAAATAAATAGTAATTTCTACTAATTTCTATTAGTAAAATTTATTAATTCAAAAGCAGAAAGTCAGTCACTAATTCAAATTAGAAAACATTTTTACTAATTCTGGTTTCGAAAGTAATTTAAGCTCAATATTGTGTTAATAAAAGGAACATTATTGCCCTAGGGTAATAAAGTGCAAATTATTGACCTAGGGAACTAATGGGCGATGAATGAGAACTTTGGATGTGCCTGTAAAAAATTGTTGAATGTTTGTCGAAAGCTTTCCGTAAGCTTGCACGATTAACTTTCTAAGCTATTTTGCAAAAAATTTAGTTTGTTTAATTTGTTGCAATAAGCTTCCACTAGAAATTTTTCGAAAATACTTCCCGGGAAATTATTTCTTATAATTTTCCTTAATTTACAAATTACCTAAAAGTGTAATGTTTGTTAGTTGTTAAAAGAAAAGAAAAGTTTCTATAATAATTACATTAATTAAGGGGCGGTATATTTAATAATAATTATATTTATCCATATGTGACCTGGACAGTGAAAAGGAACCTTACGTGCGAAAACAAGTTTTTAAGAAAACAGCAGTTAAAGTTTAACTTAGAGAAACCCTTGTAACTTTTTTAAATATTAATATTTTTTAATCAAGTTAGGCTTATTTTCTTTACCGTGAATCACAGTATCTAAATAAAAAACATACCAGTAATGAAATTTTTTTTTTAATAATTGTTTATATAAATTAATAACAAACTCCCCAAACATAGAAAAAATAATCTAAGTTTTCTAACTTGCAACAATAAGTATAAATAAGTGACACATGTTTGTAAGGGTTTTCGAGGCCGCTGATTACGAATATGATGTTAAATTGACAATTTGACAGTTGACTGCTGTCAACTTCTCTAAAAAGTGATCGTTTTTTGTAAAAAAGACAGTAATAAGGTTTTTGAGGTCGCTGATTACGAATATGATATCAAATTTGAATTTTAACTGTTGACAGTTGTCAAAGAAACTGTCAACTTTTCTAAATAATAAAAAATTATCGTCTTTGTTATTTTAATTTGTATAATAACAAAAAATCAGTTTTTTCGTATTTTTAACTCTTGTTTTTTTTACTTAAAATTTTTTTTTTAAAACTTCTAATCAACTTATGATTTTTTGGTTTTCACCATCTTAAAGAGCGTTTCAAACCCTATCCGAATCAACAAAAAAGTAAAAAATGATTTTTTGACACGTAAGGTCCCTTTTCATAGACCAGGTCACATATATAAATTGTGGTATTTTGTATTGAAATGAAAAATAAGTGGCGTGGAAAATATGAAGGATGATTATGATGGAAAGCAGTAATTCTAATTTTCCACTGTCCTTGAGTTGAAAACGGCTGGGAGTAATTGCGGTTTTAATATGAAGGTAGAAAATAGGGTGTGCAGAGTATTACATGTTGAGTTTCGCAGACATAGGGCGCATGCGCTCACTCGTAATGGGGTGATTATAATAACTGTAATACTGAAACACCAGTGGAAAATTTCTAGTCGAGTTTCCCTCGCATTTATATACATACATATATATATATATATATTGTATAGTTTCAGTCTGTTGTCTTAACAATTTACTTTTTCACTTGACTTGCTTGATTCTGATGTTAATTATATCAGTGTCAGGTACTAATTTTCAATAAAATTTACTACTGGTATTATTAAATTTACTATGTAAATGACGATTTTGAATATCAATATTTACTATTTTCAATGTCAAAATATATGTATGTTTTAATAAAAATTATTCAAATTTTCCTTGAACATTCAATTATTATTAAATATTCTTATTTTTAGAGTAAATTTTACTATTTTTGAAATAAATTTGTCTAATTCTTATAAAAAAAATTGTCTTTGAAAATAGTATAAGTTATTTTCGGAAATAACAATAATTTTTAATACCATTAAATTTTACTATTTTTAAACGAAATTTTTCCAAGTTCCAAGTATCGTAAAATTTATGTAATTTTAAAACAAAAGTAGCGTTGTAATAAAAATTTTGAATGAAAATTTAAAGAAAGTTACAGACTACGGAAAAAGATAAAACAAATATCAATAAATGAAAAAGTTTAACAAACAAAATAATTTGATTTAAAAAAGCTGAAGTTAAAAGAAAAAGTTACAAAATCTTTAAAATAAATTTTATGTGCTGTAATACAATATTTTTTACTTAATTTAAAAATTCCCCTTTTTGTAAACAGAATCCCCTTTTTGAATAATAAAATCTTTTTATCTAATATTGCATAA